AACACATTCAACCGTCAACAAGAACACATCTCCCATTCAGAACAAACACAACTCGTACACGCATACACATACAGTATATTGTTATAATTTATGTTTGTGCTACGGTTTAACTGTGTTACAAGATCCTGTCAAATCGTCGTATTAATTTACCAACGAGCAGTGGCAAATAGTGAGTTTATCGTGAGTGTGCTGCATCAGTAGTAGTATTATTGGATTTCTTGCCGTAAATATTGCGGTCAAGACAAAAGCCTGCTGCGGATGTTTCTCGTTGCGACATTTATTTGCAACAAGCGTTTCTATTAGTGGAAGTTTTGAGGCCGTGTGTAGTCTGTGATATATAGCTTTGAATTCGCTGGAAGTGCATCGGGGTTGTATCGCCGTTAAATATACGTGTAAACGTCGTGACAGGTATAGCGATTCAGAGTATACGAACCGAGACACGGCGTTCAAATGGAAGTTTGAAACTGTCAGGGGTATCGAGTTCTGCTTTGCTTCCAATTTCTTCGTATTTTAGTTCGTTCCTCTTTTGAACCATTCGCTTTACCTTACGGAGAACACATTTAGTCTGTTACCCTGATGTATTTTCTGATAGACGAATAGGCGAAGAAATATTTAACCAGTGATGTATCCAGCGCATCGTGCGTTTCGATTTCTCGTCTGACGTTTGCTTGATCGTTACTACTCGAAAGGGAAATCGTGTGTCAGCCGTGTCGAATATTCGTGTTTAAAAAAAAAATTTTCCAAAGAATGCTTTATTCTCTGTTATTTTTTAGAGACAGTTACCTCGGGGTAATCGAGTACCTGCATAACAGCGTTTTTTCCCCCTAAATATTTTGCTTTCTGTCGGCCTGTTCAATTTCGTATGTCACGATAATTATCGATTTTTCCCAGAAATATGAAGTCGAACGAATAGTAGCAGATAACCGTGAAGAATAAATAGGTCATACAACGTGTCTGTATGTGTGTGTGTGTGTGTGTGGGCAAAGAGATTTCTTGACCTCTCTTGTTCTCCACTCTTAGTTGCCACTCAACAGCCACTGTTACATGGTTGCTTTCAATGGACTATATACGTACTATTTTGTGAAATAAAGTACCATCTCCTTAAAAGTTGTGCAAGACTTCACACAAGACCATTGAATACTTTCTAATTGGACGTTCACAAATTTCGAAATACTCCAAGTACTAATTGTTAAAGAAATCTGAACCGTGTGAATGGCTATTCCGATTTTTCGCACCTACAAAACTTCCTCGCATCGTCTTCGCTCAGATGCAAACGAAACCATGCTATCTCCACCGCATTCAATCCCATGGTACGTTCCGACAACAGGAAATCGTGATAAATCTCGGATTACCGAGTTTAATAGAGAGACGAACGGGGAATTAATCATAGACTGCGATAGGACACGATCTATGGTTTAGCAAAATTCTTCGTGACGTGTACAGCTGTAGATACATTCGATCTCTGTATTTACCTTTCTAGATGATATTCAGCAAAACGATATCTATCTACCCTTTGTCATTCGCTAGAATTACGTGTAATCTTCGCTCGAAACAGGGGTGGCGGTGTATGAATACATTCAGGCGTGACGCTGAAGGAGAATAATTACAGAAGAGTGCTTCGATCGATCATTAAGAAGAAATTAATGATCTTCAATTAAGGTCACGAAACAGGACGCATAGTTGTGTGTGTTTCGTTGGTGTTACAACGTCACACCTTTTGCGTGATTTCATTGTGTTCTTTTAATAAATGAACACTCGTCGAACTGGCAGATAAAAAATAAAATGCAAGGAGTATGAAATTTGAATATCGATTGCGAAAATTTGCATAGTTTAATATTCGGTATTTTTTTGTTCATTAATTAAATGCGGATAAACCGAGCTTACTAAATTATTAATATTTCGTGGACATTTTGCATCGAAACACATATACACTAATCTATGAAAAGATATCACGATGGAGCGTATCGTGATCGGTTCGCAAATACATATGCAGTTCGAGTAAGGTCGATTTTCGTGGCGTCGATGTTAGATTAATATTCCATGCTTCGTCTAGGGTCGACGGACTCGATGATAAAACTAGGGGGCATATTACTCAGAATTCATACGCCACAGTCGAGGGGTTCGTGCAGCCCTCTCTTCAGCCATCCCTGTTGAAATACACGTTGTCGCGACAGTTTTTTTTCATGCGGATAAGAAATCCATGTTTCGCATTCGAGCTGTACGATTTAATAAAAAAAAAAATTGCACCACAGGATGCTTTGTTATCTCCGAATAAATAAAAACTACATCTTTACAATGTCAACAAACAAACCGGAATGATGCTGTATAAATTTAACCGTTCCGCAAAAATGTGCCTACGTCGTTGCGTGTTTCGGAATCGATAAAAAAAACCGCAGATAGTCGCGTGAAACTCTGCTAAAACGAATATTCCAATTGGTCCTCCATGAGTCTTGGTCAGCAAAGACAAACGAGTGTTTGAACAGTCGTCAACCATCCTTTAGCCCAGTTGGCGATCCGCCAAACACGCTCGGCGAAAGAAAGAGAGTGCCAAAAATATCCTCGGATAGGCACTTCGGGCATCGTTAACGAGCAATTATTTCCCTTTTCTCCCGCGAAAATCAGGATTTTGCACAATGGTGGGAAGGTCGCGAATCAGCATCCGCGCGCGTATTTGCTTTTCCATTGATACTATAATCATGTCCCGCGACACCACGCTCGAGAATATTTCCGACTGGGGTAAGAATTAATTATGCATTCGCATAAATATACGGATTTTCTTGTTGCGCAAGACCCCGTATCGCCCATCGCTGTGTCAGCAAATACCAATATACCGTGAACTGTTCGTTCCCCTTGCTTATTTCATGACCCGACAGAGAGTAAATGATCTTTATATTTTCCGGAGACCGATGGAGTTTGCAGAGAAACTGCTCGAGAGTATTTGATGGAACACCAGGATCGAACGTAATAGCGTGATTCTAGGGTCGTCGTATCCTCTCGGATCGTTGAGACATCGTAGTATTATAACGACACGATCACCTCGCAAGTGTGGTGAACAGGGCAAGTACTCGATCACTACTCTAAGTTACTTGAACTAACGCAAACACGGGTTTGCATTCGATCAGGCTAATCGAGTTTGGAGGTGTAGTCTGATAAAGCGAGGGATTAGTTCGGGAACGTTGGTAAATTTCGTTGGTTTCGCGACGAACAGCAAAGAAAAAATACGAACCCACCGATCGAAACTAATACTTCCTTCCGTTCACCGTGTATAGATTATATCGAGTTAATATTTTAATCGTCTTAATATCGTGGACCAGATGCTCCAACAGTATTAATTCTTAGATGGATAATAACACAACGTTACGAAACAAGTGTACTTCTTGCGTAACACAAGAGAGGTGTTAAATGCGTACTTGTAAATTAGCTTGTTAAACTTAAATAGTCCCGACTCGAATCTCGCAATTATATCGAAATGTACTGCCCGAGATTATAGTTAAGCCGGCAGTAATGCAATTTTGTCAGCATCTCGAAATAGGGTAAAAAAAAAAAGCAATTCCATTACTTTCCAAGGACGTAACGTTCTTGTAAAATTCTCTTGCGAAAACGATGACGATCATAGCGACCATGACGACGATGACACCGAATCGTAGCCTTTTCCTCGTAATTAGTTTTTCTCATTTTGCGAGCCTAAAGTTTATATTGGTATCGGTGGATTCTTAGCTTTCTTTACGACGCTTAAGTCGTACATACGAAAGAGCTTCCGAAGGATCTAAAAGGATAAGGTTAAGCGTAAAGCTTGTCCGAAAAACGTTGCTCGGTGTCGTTGATCAAATACGAGGACGAGGGTTGAATTGAATCGACGCGAAAAAGTCTCGGTTCGTCAAACGTTCACGTTTTCCGACAATGCCCACGTTTCTATGCAGTCGTTTGATATCCGCAGTTTCATTTCACGTAGCATTTTTATTGCGAATCAACGGCAAGAAGCAACAGTTCAGATTGCTTTTCATCTTTTACTGCTAACCCTGGAAAATACGTTTTCACGAAAGTATAGATATAAACGTTGGGGGTCGTCGTTGATGTTAACGGAAAGATGATACCGTTTAATCGTTCTTTCCATCGTTTCGCAGAAATATCAAGTCGATCTGCATAACTGTATGACCGTAAATTCACTTATACTGTTACAGTCCTGAGACAATTTCAGTTCGTTCATTGTTAACGTTGCGTCCCATAATACTGGTATAGGAATTAGCAAGGCAACGTCAACAGAGGCGGCACAAGTATTGAGAGACGCTTCGGTATTAATTTGCAGCTTGATCGAGCGATTGGTAAATACCGACATGTGCTACGCTGTAAATCGTGTTAGACATTGTGTCCCGGAAGCGGCAAAGCGAAACCGAACGTAGTACATTAAATCAATGAAATTTGATGTGCATATCGATACATGAAGGTCCGTGAGGTTCACAAATCCCCTTTAAAGACAGTAGAATCAGACTGTGCTTCCCCCGTTGCAGGGTTGTTTTGATCCGAACCGCGAAGCGAGCAAGCACAGATCAATAATCGATCGTGAAACCTGTTTTTTTTTTTCGTGAATTACGAGCTTTACCGGAGACTTTTTTGTATATTAATAAATCGCCTCTTTCTAGGCTGACTACGCGCAAACGAGGGTCGTCGTCGAATGTTGGGATTGAGGCTAATCGAAGGACTCAACGCTACGATTCGTTCTTTTACACCCTTGGAAAGTTTACGGGAATAGCTTCACCGTTTCTGTGGCGTGACCAGAATTTTATCGGTCTTACTTTGTTTTATTTATGCCCAGCACACGATTTCATCGAGTAGAAAAAGTTTATTTCTCGATTAGCTTTCGTTCGTACTCTCGATGTGAATTACATGGTTACAAGCTGAATAGCTATGGGTGGAGCGAATTAGTCGACTATTAAATGCCATTTCCGACCCTCTTTTTCAATTTAAAGTACTAATTGAATGGATTTCGTCGATATACTTACGGGTTCCATCGAAGCGAGTGGCGATAGTATCTAAGAAAGTATTTTGTGGGGCGAGGAGGCCCTTCCTGACCGGCATTGGGGCCGCCCCGCCGCGCTGTCAGGCGCTGGAATCTGGAAAAACCGAAAAGAAGCTTCTTTTGAGTAAACCCCGCATGCATTAATTAATATGTTTCATACATAAAGCGAACAACGACGGTGTGCGTGTGATCAGAAACGAAATGTTCGCTTCGCGAAGCATGCTTTAAATCTGCGAATTTATGTACCAAGAAACTGGCTGACAATGAGTTCTCCGATAGGTAGGTCAGTGGTCCAATGAAAATAAAGGATTGCGTGCAGAATACAGTAGTTGCGGTGATAGATGATTGCAGACTAAGCAACACCGTATCTTACTATTTTTAGACAGGAGTTTTAATTTAACATTCCCGTCAAATAATCGAGACGTAAGTTTTCGATACGGTTCTTTCGTGCAATTTTTAGAATAGGCACAGGAATGCATTTACACGCGTGCACAGGAGTCTCGTTGAGAAAACTGCTAGCCGGCGATATTCATAGCTTTTCATTACTGGGCCATTGTTACTCTCGTTGTTCCGTGGTATGTATTCATCATTTATAGAATTAATCGAACCAAACTTATACTTTTCTCTCCTTCGAGGTATCCAAAAAAAAATCGTTGTTGCACATTATAATAAATAGCGTTGATTTAATTTTAAAATATGTTACTTAATTGTAATAATGTTTCGGCAAACGATACCTACGTCGTGTGTTTAAATATTATTAACTGTATTCGACGCAAATTTCATTATGTCATTCAGCTCAAACATTCGACTACTTTTGATAACACAAAATGATACATAAATTGTATAGGTAACTGGTTTGATCGAATAATATAATCATAAATCGTCGGTCTATCTATAAAACGTGTTTGCAGAAGAAATAAAATAGTGAATCAGGAAAAGCTACTTGGAACGTAATAAATCGAGGACCGTGCAATTAAATGTTCATGTCTACTTTTCAGGTTTTTCGCGTTATCCACTTTGAAACTGTTCATTTTGAACCGTGCATCGGTAAACGCAATTAACTCGCGTGGTTTTATGAAAGGCTCATTCCACTACCAACGCGTTATTTCATACTTGTTACTTGATTCTATCAGAAAATTGTGGAATTTATTCCTTCGTTACGAAACGAGAGAATTATTGTGGTGCATTTGTCTTTCTCGATCGTAAGATGAATCTGTATCACTATATAGAGATTGCAGCAATGTAACAGGTGTGAAGAGAGGATACCATATAGGATACGGGCACATTATGTCCTTATCCTTTGCGAAACGTTCTCTTCTTCCGAATTCAAGCCAAGAAAATGAATTGCAATGTTTGAAACGTGTTCTTTATTTTCTGTTTTAAACATTTATTGTCAACAAATTACTTTTTTCTTGATTTTCCATGGTTACTCATAATAATGTGTATCGTTGCAACAAGTGGAATGTTAAAAATAAACTTACGGTCGTTTCAGTGTTTTTTTTAAAAGCAGCCACTAGTCGGATAGAGGATCTATAAAGCAGTCGATCTAGTATGACAGGCAAACTATGCTTCTAGCGGTAGATAACAATCGACGCAATTTTTTATGCAAATGTTCGTACACTAAAAATCAACGGTACACTCAGTCATCGTTACAGACCTTATCGAGAAAAGAGTTGCAGCTCAGAAGCTGAGCATCTTAGGCATAATCGGGAACATTATTCCTGTTTTCGTATCCGTGTGGATTTCGATGGTTCACTATTTTCGCACTGAACACGTCGTGGGAAGGGAAGAAAAATCATGTGTTCGTTCCGGTTCCGATAGAATCGAGGGATTATCGCGACATTACCGAGGGAAACGGGAGACACGCGGAACGCTCGCTGGTACTCGCGTAACTGACCGAGCCGAGGGGAGAGATTCTCTCTATCCTGATGGCCCGGGCTCCTGGCTGACTTGCGCTCCGCGCACCAAGGCGCAACATGTGGTAAACCGTTGAAGGTATACGCTAACACACCCACGCTTTTCTGTACATGCAAGCACATACGCGGGTCGTACGCCGATAAGTACACGAGCGCAAAACTGTGTAACCTGCATACGCACGCGCGCTGATTATTCCCAAACGCGTGTGTACCGCCAGCTATAAAACAGGGTCAAGACTCTGAGCGAGGATCAAACGAGCCGAGACACTAATCAAGTCTTTCGCCGGTGTTTTAAGAAATATATTGTAATTGACAGGAACGTCCGTCCCTCTACCAAAAATCATTAAAGGAATAGGACAGATCGTATTGTATCTGATTATAGGTGATACCAGAAGTCACAGAGCCGTTTGATCGTTTCATCATTTACCGTTTCCGATCCATCGATCAGGAAAGTAAACGATATCCATTGGCTTAGTCTTGCTACTGCTTGCAATGATGTCAATTATAGATTCATATAGATAAATCTTGTTCAATTTTCGGATGCCGAGTTCAAAGACATTCGGGTATTTATAAAGTACAGTGATGTTTCGATGAGTGCGATGTAATCGAGTCTGCTTCGGAGCTTTCGTGGCAAGACGGACAGGTTTTCAGCCCCTCATACATTTGTTTTTTATCCGAAGCTGAGCCTCTGCTTAGCTTCTGTTTACTCTGTTTTGATTGATTCGAGAGGGAGACCTCCCCCCAGTGTGGGAATAACGCAGTTGTTCGTGTCGCATTCATCGAGGGATCACTGTATTTATTCCTATGTTATTGTTTGAATCGTAAAAGAAACATATGTAAAATGTAATATACATGCGTACGTAACGCAAGCTTCTAGAGAGAGAAAGAAGGCTTCCATAAAAGATTATCGTAGACATTAAGTTCATATCGCTTTATGGACACGGGGATAGAAAATCCTCGACGAACCACTTTAGAGGTACTTCAAAGACCCGTAACGCTTTAGAACCGTTTCGTTTATTTCTATGGGATGGATACTATTTTCATCTATACGAGGGGATCAGGATACTCCAGTAGAACTTGTATGGTCGGTAACGAAAGTAAGCAAAATTTCGTTTAGTCTCATTAACGTTCACCGCGATGAAATCAACAATAGGATAATATCCAGCGTGTCATGTATCTCACATTCCAAATGCTATGAATGTGGCGATATGCAAGGATATTTGATATCCACGTTCACGGGGCTGATATGCAAAGGTATACTGTCGTATATTGCTTGTATACGGGAATTCATTGTTCCTTTGGAACGTGCGAGTCGAAAGACTACGTGAATTTGCTTCTATTCCGTGTATACCGAGAAATTTCAACGATTTCCCGCTGTGCAGGGATTCAACTCCGTGTAAGCAGCTTTCGTGCCAAAATCGTATCAGTAAAAACTGGTGGTAAAGCTTTATGAGCAACAAAATAGAGGAATTAATCAATCGGTCCGCGTAAAACGATAAATGGATTGCAAGTGCCGTAATAAGTGGAATACGATTGCGGATAGAAATTGCGCGAAGTTAGCACCGCGGGTCAGTTCGTGTGCCGTTTCATCGACTTTTTTTTTTCATATCTGAATACATAACACATACACGCATGCAGACACACGTACCGTGTGTATATGTATATTGAATGAAACGTTAACTCAGGTCAGTTTCGTAGTATTGTATAATGCGACCGCGCCAAAGGGGGTCGATGACTGTATTCGCGTGTTAGTTCCTCGTGAACAGGGCATGCAATCTGTAGGCGTTCCCGATATAGATCGTTGTAGAAAAATCTTTATAGGCTGTTCGGTTCTAAGGTTGTGTGTTTAACGATACATAGCGAACGGCAAGGGTTAGGTGCAACGTCGCGATGGTCGCGACAAGAATCAAGGGATCCGGGTTAATGAAAATCGATGGTGATGTGTGACTAGTTTTCCTTCGAAAATTGATGTTTATGGTTTGAGACTTTCCGTAGGACGCGTATTACGCCACTGTTTTATTCTATGTGGATATGACTGTCTTCGAAGCCTGATTTGTTACGATTAAAATCATATTTGGGGGAAAAACATCGTGGTATTTTTAGAACTGTGAAGGTGAAAGAAAATATAATTTGAAGCAAATCTCACGATTGAAAATATACAGGCGGAAAATTTGTCTACGTTGTATCTCGCAGAAAAGAAGTATCTTTTTGACGGGGTGAAAAGTTAGCTTCTTTACAGGTGACGCACGTGAAAGCCAGATCCGACACACCGTCCTATTTTTCAAGCACGAATCAAGCGGCCGCGGCAATGTGCTCGGTAGAGCAGATCTGCGCTTAGACGTAATATCCGAAGCTTTTGTCGGTCGTCTCCCATTTTCCAGAAAAGATTCGAAAGCATCGATCGACTGTACGAATATTCTCGTGGTCGTAGGTCCATTTCGATTTCTGCCCTCTTTCTCTTTCATTTCTCGCTTCTTCCCCTCGAGCGACTTGTCCGAAACTCATTTCTTCAAACGACTTTTCCCGCTCAACCATATTCGAGATATGTATGTAGCCTTCAGGCTTGCTGCGAAAACTGACTATGACGGATCCATACGCGACAGTGTATGATGCGAGTTTACGCATCTCTGAATGTTCGAAAACGATATGAATTTGTCATGTCTGTTAACCGTTGACGGAATTGTTTCTAAATTGCGAACGATAGAGCGTCGAGTGGCAGCAGCGAGAAATGTATCTGCAAGAAGCGCGATGTCGACGAGCTGAGGAAAATATAATCGATAACAAAAACCAAAAAAAAAATGTCTGTGTTGCACGAATATTGTCAGTGTCAGTGGGTTATCCGGGCAGCACGGCGTACAGACGGCGCGTGGTCACGAAGCAGGGTCCATATAATCGATACTCCACTACTTCGAGTACCTGACTCCGTAGGGAGGGATGGAGAAAAGGAGACGGATTGAGATAAAAAAGAAGCAGAAAGTCTCGGAGGGTAGGTACCTACCGCTTTTACCCTCCTGTTTCGTTGCCGAGTTTCCATGCTCGGTTCTTCGCTTCTCCTAGAAAAAGGATATGTCACATTTGCAATTTTTTTTGCCAGACACGCATTTTCATCCCGCATAAAGGGTTTACGATGCGTGAAACATAGTTGTCCCGGAAAAACGAACAGAACAGAAAAAGCATAATGAAATTGTAGGTAGAGGCCGGTTTTCTTGGATGTATGCACATATTACACTCTTTTCAAGCTATTATTTCGTCAAAGTCATATAGTCGCGCGAGCTACTGTCTGTTTAATTAAAACATTGAAGCGGCGCTTAAATACTCTGGTTGTCTTAATTATCCGTGTCTCGTCGCGTTTCGTACTTTTCTGCCGGCGTAATAATAACAACGTAGTATTGAAAGTATTAGTAAGTGATTCGTTAGAATTTTTGACAATGTTCGCGACTCAAGACATGTGTTTCATTCGTATTTTTATTCTACCGTGAAATGAAACACGTCTACGTGTGCGCCGATTTATGGTAACCTTATACATTATTCAGGTACATGCAAAGCGCGCGGATTTATGTTTGAAGGAAAAATTGATTCATCATCCCGTAAAATGTAAACGAAATTCTAGATGTATAACGGTCCACTGTCTGTTAAATCGTACACACATCGAATTCAATGGCGTATTGTAACGTCATTAAAACAATTGTATCGTTCGTGACTGAAATGAACGCGGGGAATACGGTAAACATCATTTCGTACTTGCAAACGCTTATTTTTAGCTGGAACATTGAATACGCCACCGTGTCAGCCTTTTGGCTGCACTTCTGGGTCGTCGGTGAAATTACTTTTAGGTTGAAGCTCTTCAGAGACTAAAGAACGTATTACATCTTTGTGCAAACATCCCACGATCTTTCTAGAGAAGAATTTCCTCTTACCGAGATAAGTGGAACATTGAAAAATTTCCAATAATTCCCTTCGAACCGGTAAGCTGTTGCGACCGGTTCGAAATAATATAGAATCGATCGAATGTACCGATCATCGGTTTATCGGTAATATGTGTCCGAGGATTAACCTTAAGTATCTTCGTTAAGAGTTTCAAGGGGATCGAGTTAGCATCGACCGGATGTCTGTATCGTCGGGAAATGTGGGGGTTGAGATCGCCGCTGTGGCAAATGGCCCGTGACATCTAACGTCTATAATTCCGTATTAGATACCGAACGGCCCAGTCACTGTTCCCCAGTGGTGCCAGGTGCGATGGCCGAACGGTAAGGTATAACGACGCGAACGGCTGCCGCATTGCCGATGTCGTGCCAGCCGTAACTACGGTACGTGGGGTACGTGTACCCTCGTGCACCCACGCCGACCTCTGACTCTCTCAAGAGGTGGACGACTTATCGACCTGGTACAAGTCAGGCCTACCACCTTTATCTCATCGGTACTCGAACCGCGAAATCTGCTGCGCGTGTACTCGATCCTCGCCATTTTCCTTCGAGCGTATTACTCCAAGATCGATTTTCCAAGAACGGAATACATATCCAGAGTCTCGTACCACGCGATACCACGATGGCATTGCGTCGATAGAGACATCCTTGAAAATTATAATGAATTTTCCATGCTTTTGCAGTCGCGGTGAATCGCGAGACACACACCATTCGATGTGGGAAACAAGGGAATACCTTGGCAGACCACATTTTCCCGATTATCCAAAAGCTTGAAACGTGTATTCTACTTTTTAGTCTGCCCTCTCTCACTCATCTGAGAACGAGAGAGAGAAAGAGAGAGAGGAAAGTACCTTCGTAGTGTTTCAGGAGAGGCCCTTGTCCCTTCTAGGTCGTCTCTTAGAGTGTTTGCGAATCAGGCCGCGACCCCGTCGTCACCTTCGCGAACCACGGCTATGTGCTCTGGTGGTTGCGCCGGGAAATTAGAACGTTGCATTCGTGAGGGTCGTCGCTGTCTCGCCCCTGTGCTGGGCCATCAATAGGAATAATACGAGCAACTATGCAATGCAGCACGGGCATAGGTAGACGCGAGTGTAACGACCTTACACCCCCGTAGGTAGAGGGATCGATGGGCTCCAACTCCGGGCAACCTCTCATCTACAGTCCCTATCGTGTTGTGGGTCGACTGCCTGCACCCGTGTTGCCTTGTTGGGCTGGCTTGTCCCACTTTTCTATCATGTTTTACCACTACCAAGTACACCCCGGTATATACCCCTTTGGTTTTGCGCCTTGTGACTGCCACTCGCAGATTCGATGACACCAAACTCGAGGTCTTGCATAAATACAATAGCTTTGTTTCTGGATGTTTCGATGCGCTCAACAAATCGCTACGGAATCGCTTTAACGGTAGCAAGTATTTAGAAAATCTTCCGAGGATTAGAAAATTTCATAATTTGAGGATAAGGATTCATCGAATAAACTAACGGAGGACCATTTAAACATGATGTTTTTGTAGTTTATTGTTCTTTTTCTTCGGTATGAAATGCGCTAGTACAGCTTCGCGTGCACATTGATATGACACACACCTCGTTAAAAAACTAAGTGCGCATGTACTTGAAAACAAGGACGTGTCGTTTAACAATCATGAATGAAAATATAACAGGTCCGCTTACTGTAACGATGCGTTTATTAAATGCACTGCATGTATATATGTATATGTGTATAATAACACGACAGTCTAAAAAATGTCTGTAAAAATTCATTTTTAAGAATTTTATTCTTGTATAGAGTAAAACGCATGTTGTCGAATATTTTCCGCGTTTCATTAATCGTGTATTGCGATACGTTGCCGACGATTTCTCTGAGAATGATTATAGTATAATCGATTCTTCTCATTTTCCGATAAGAAGTATCCGACATTCGAAATAGATCATACGCGAAATGTTTAATACGAGGGATTCTGTCGAATCAATTATGTTTCTCGCATAAACTTAGTTGATTACGCACAATATTAATAAATAGAGAAGATAAAATATAATGGAATAATAGGATCGATATCTCTGGATAATCAAACGAAAATATTATCGCTAAATACACTAATCAGAACTCATTTCTCTTCAATCCTACGTCTTTCCTAAAAATTCACGAATGTACAATTTCATTGATTTACGATAATTTCCGTGACTGGAATTGTATCATGCAGACATTTCTCTTTTTAGTGCTCCCACTGCTTAATCGCTAAAAAATTATCACATAATTCTAAACAAGTTCTACGATCTCTTTTCCCCTTTTTAGTAGTTAGCCTTTCGAGTTACGTTGCGACAACAGTTTCTATTTTAACGGATCGTCGATCCTCGCATGGCTTTAAAAGTTATCACATACGTGTGTCTCGATGAATCGTCAAGATTTACATATCGAGATCGAATATTAAATCATTTTTAAATTCCGCCTTGACCGTGTATTTCGTATCACTGATCGGACTATCTGCAGAATTTTCGTTAATCGTTTCTTCCTGGACGCTGGATTCCCGATTAGGCATCGAACGGTTATTACCGTTACCCCCTTTCTTGATTTCGATATTGGCAGTTATCTGTTGCGTCGATTGCTTATCGCGATTAAGGATAGGTTTCACAGTCTCGGAAGAATCCGTGGTTTTTGGACTCGCCTTGTATTTATCCCGTTCCTCCGTTTCGGAGTTTTCGCTCTCGCTCATCCGGCGTTCGTACGCGCGTTTTTTGTTTCGTAGCTTGCGCTGATTTTTCTTTCGTTGACCAAGAATACTAGAATTAGACCTACGGAAATGAAGTAAAATAAAGTATCGTGCAAGCTGGTGGTGTTGTCAATGTTGACGGTTGTGAGCGAAACAATACCTAAATAATTGTCGCGACACCACATCGTTGAATCGTACTGTTTTCTTTAAACTGGAACAATCCGATTCGGAATTGATATCTTGCACCGAATCGTACTGACAATCTATGGACGAGATGGGCATTCCGCTTTCGTCGGCGCTCGATTCGGATACTGAACGTGAAAAATCGTGAGTCCGACGTGACTTTAATATACCTTTCGCGAATGTACCTGCAGTATTTGTTACACTATTATTTGATAATTCATCTCCGCTGCTCTCTGAAACAGATCTAGTTTTTGTCATGGCGTATCGTCGACTCTGTCGGCGTTGTATAGACTTTGTACGTTGTTGACCCTCTTCGTCGTCGGAATCTAATTGTTTCGATCTAATACTTATAACGACACCGTCATCTTCTGCTTGTACATCAATCATCCTGTCTTTTTCCTGTCCACTGTCTTCCATCGTCTGAAATCAATACGGTCGAATGTAGAATGAGCTTTAATAGTTGCAAGTACTCTTAACTTACCGTCAATGCTTTCAATTGACGCCTGAAAGATGCGGCGGTAGGAAGTTCCCTTTCTTCCATGAATTCATCCCGCACACCGAAGTAGTATCGCGCTAAATTTTCAGTATTGTTTAACATTACGCTAAACACGACGTTGTTATCCCACGGTTCGATTGTGAGGGATTCTGGATACACAGAATCCGCGTATAGTTTTAAACAAAGCGAGTAGTGCTGTGGAAAAAATCCTGCGCCTACAGACGTTAACGTAACGTGTATCCCTAAATTATTTTGTAAAATTCTACGACGAATGGAATTCGGATCCACGTTCTTTACATTTATAGTGACGGCTAATTGATTATCGTATATATTACATGTAAACGGTGGCAGTAAATACTTAATGCTAGGATCTAAAAAGGTATCAGTGTTTTCTATAGGACTAGTCCGTAGTGCTGTATCACCACACTCCTCCTCCTCCTCTTCCTCATAATGTTTACTTTTCTTATCTATTTCCGCGACTGCAAGCACTGTTTCGCATTCTTCGACCAATTTCCGCGGGGGATCACTCGAACTACTTTGACCAGGAGCATCCTCTGAGGAATCTTCACGGAACAGTGGCAGTGGACTCCCGTGATCGCTGTCGACACCACTGTCTTCTCTGGTGTCCAACAAAGATACCACTGGTGGAATGACTGGCAAAGTTACCACAAGCTTTTTGTGCTTTGCATCAAATTTCGCGTTGCCGTGGTCTGCGTCCACATTGTAGGGCAGGGGTAACTCCAGCAAATACTTTGCTGGTTTTTCGCTTTTCACGCACAAAAAACGTTCCTGTACATCCAAAGATGCATCATTGGCAGTTTTCAGTAAAGGCAGATCTATAGAAATAATTAATCTTTTAGGTACGGTAGCATTCATTTTTGCATTTCTACTGTTACTAAAGTCCTCCAGCTCCAAATCAGACTGATGTTTAATAAAGAACTTGGGTGTTGCATATTTGTTGTTTGTAAATGGATCCGTAACAGGTTTGTCATTATAGTAGGTGGTAGGTGGAGATACACGCTTTGGCTTCTCTTCTAACCACTTTGTACGCTGTTCTCTTTTCTGATCGTAGTCTGCCATCAGCTTTTGGTAGATCTCTGGCTCTATGTCCAGCTGTTCATTTGGTGGCTCCTTGGAGGGTTTTCTGATCACTGTAGGCTGACATACACCTTTGTAGTTGATTTTTGGAAATTTGAGATTCTTTCTGTCCAGTTTCACCTGATGAAATACATAAGAAATGCAAAGTTATAGAGGTCCAGACAGGGCAAAGAACGAATCTGCTTCGTGGTACTTACCTTGAAGTTACTCTCCACGCCATCCATGGCAGTGTTGTTGACAATGTCACGAAATCGTGCATTCTTTGACGCCAGATAGATCGTGTCGGGGTGAAAGACGATGTCGAAGACCATGCAACGGACATTCTTCTTGTCAAGGTCGTCGCGAGGCGGTACAAGAGTATAGGGGATAGACCATTGCAAACCTCGATGACCTTGTTCGTAAGAAGGTTCACTGCTTGGTCGTGCCACGATGTCGCTCTTGCTGATGTTTAAGAAACATTTCCTGTCTCCATTCACGCTGGTTTTTATGACGTAACCAGCTTCCGGGTTAACGAATGTAACGTCGACGCCCCGTTCTTTTTCCAACTGCGTGATCTCCTTCTCGTACAGCTTCTTATTTTCTGGATCAGTCACCGTCTCCGCGTACTCGATCAGATATTTCCGGAATTCCTCCTTCTTCAAACACTCTGTCAATCTTGTCAGTTCTTCCTTGGTCACCTCCAAATCTTCCCACTCGTTCCTATGTGTTTCGTACGCGTCCATCTTATGAAATGATGTCGCGTGTTTACAAATAAACACGTATTGGTAGAAGGATCGCGAAGCTCCTATACCACGTGGATGGCTGCGCCACTACGCCGGCCGGTCGAACGACGGTCGGACGCGGAACTTCTAAACATGAAATGGCGCGCGCGCCATTTTTCCCTTATCGGATGATTCCTTTTATTTAAAATGTCAGCGAAATTTCGAACGATATCCCCCAAAAATGTTCAGTAATTGTTTCCCTTTGCCTCTCTCTCAGAAAAGAATATACACTTCAGGCCCGAGCAAACACCTGCACATTCATTCCATTGTATTTCAACATCCTCTTCAACAGACATGAATTACTGCCATTCATGCAATACCTATGTATTGAACCAACATCAGCAGAGTCGCGAAGGTCGATAAAGTCCATAGGTTTGCAGAGAGGAATCATCGTTTTTTGCTTAGAGTCGAGCTTCCTTTCACCATACTCGGTTCTGCAATGTATGAATCACGCTTTCGTCTGTCGATAGACCGCTAATAAAGTCGATAAACTTGTAGCGGTAATTAACTAATGAAAGTTGGAGGTGCAGGTAAACTGGTTACGGGTTCGGCGTTGCCTAAAGCAATGACTTTACATTTTAAATATGGACCAGAAATAATTCGCATGACCAGCTGGAAACCATTTCTCATTCATGTCGAGTAAATGTACGGGGAAAAGCTGAGTTTCCCTTTTCGCGAGATCTACAGTTGGTGGGGGAGTCGAGGTGAAGATGTGGGGATCAAGCGGTACGAAGTCTCTGACCCACTGACATTCTCCTCAGTTTCTTAGAAGGCACAAACGCCGGTAATTCGTGACTGGTAACATCGATGTCAGTGATTAGGATTATCGGTAAAATATTTCTGAAGAGTGTCTGAGACAGTCACTGTCGCGTAATCAACCGAGACTCGCATTGTCATGCGTATAAACCGAACATTTCTGTCCAGTGTCGTTGTTTGCTCGACAATTCTGTTCGTTGTTCTCAGGTCAAAATCGACAGTAGAATTCGCAGACAAGTCGAGGAACGACATAGAAAAACGTTACGCGACGGAACAACAAATCAGTAATGGCCAGCAGGTGAATTGTAATCATTTCATTTTTCAATCGTGGTCGAACTCAGGGCATGTTTAAATGTTTAAGAGTCAAAAACAGACAAAGAAGATCGATTAGATATTGTTTGTACTATCTGTGAACATTTCCGAAGGGTATCGTATTTTCCAATGCTCTGAACCAGTGAACTTTAAATAGTTCACTGGCCGAGTTTGGAAGGCATCCGATACAGTGAAAGTATGCACGTCAGCGGAGGATGTAATACTGGAAAGCGATCTTTTCCTTCTGCGATTTGAAAATCAATTTATCGGAAATCGCGCCTAATATCGGACTCAAACTGTCGTTAGGCTGAAGTATTTCCGCATAATTTTAATGATTATCTCTAGTGTTATTTGTTGCGCAGACATACCGATACGTTACGCCTTCTCTTGCGGAACTGGGTGCTCGTAGAAGTTTGCCTAAAATGAACAAACATATCTTGATGTTGACGCGCATACCCAATGCTGGAGGTGAACTCCTGGTCCTGATTTTGCAGCGTTTACAGGGGTACAATGCTTTTAAACATATACGTTTGCCACCTGGTGATCATGGACTTTTGTCATCTTTGCAAGAGGTAAATCTCATCCTCTCGATGCTTACTCAAAATCTTCGAGTGGCATGAAATTTCGTTGATCTGTAATGCAGAATGTAGAACTGTTCAAATTATTGTCCGTCGTGGTAGGGACTTTTTGAACACCACGATATAGTGGCGGCGCCAGTTTATCGTGGCATCGATTGAATGGTGAACGATAACGCGAGAAACGTGAATCAGCAGCTGATTCATTGATCGCATAAATCTGCGGGTAAATTTAATCACATTGTGGTCGTGGCACTTTGCGTTCACGCGTCGGACTCGGTTTTCGGTGTTGCAATCTAGGTTGTACCACTTTGGTCTTAGCGTGAATGCGGCAGACCCAAGAACTCATATTTGGAGCACGACTATAGTGGATGTTGCGAAGTGAGAGTACGGTTCCCGCGAAATGCGACATAAAAGTCAATGAATATTAAAAGATTCAATGTATTTGGAGCACGGTAATCAATCATCCTGACACTTCTTCCTACCCTGTATGGGTATTCTCGGCTGCCTCGTTACATTGCACTTTCATATACCTATCGCGGGAAACACATTTCTGTGCAATCGATAAAATTAATATCGATGCCAATTGTGTACTTGGTACTTTGCTGTCGAACTTTTACCGACAAGTAGACTCCGTTTGAGCATTTTTTTTCTCTTAGGACAACTTTATGCATTATTTCGCAGGAATTGCTAGTGGAGGAAATTACGAATATCATCAGACAAGAAGCGATACCATTAACATTTGACGGAGATGTTAGGTTTTTAAATTTTTCCAAGTTCGGCCGACAGCCACCATCGTTTATTTCTCTAGTGAGAAATCCTCTGCACGTTCAAAATGTACAGAGGTAAAGGATGTCACGATATGATCGATAGCGCCTGATAGTAACGAGCCAAACAGATCATCGCGTATAGATCGGTGTTTGTTCAATTGTGTGCTTTTTGATTTCCAGGTACCATGAAAAACTGAAAACTGATGTCGAAGGTAGAGCCATACCTACATTTTGCGGACAAGATCCACGGTGTACGTGAGTACTTATTAGATCCACCGGGTCATACATTTAAATGGAGTCTTTATCCTTTTATTTCTCTATATCGCGTAATCTGTAATTTATAGAGAGATAAATAATAAATGGGCACTGCAACGGGCTAAAGCAAATATTGTTGAAGAGTATCCTGTTGTGGGTATTCTAGATTGCATGGAGCAATCGATGAACGTGTTGGAACATAAATTCCCATATTTTTTCCGCGGTGCTAGAGACATTTATAAAAAGATTCGTAAGTAAATAGGAAATAGTTCAGTTAGTTTAGAGTATAAGAAAGTTTAGTTTAGTTTAATTTAATTAGTTCGTATTGTTTAGGGCCGAAAAAAGAGTACGTTTCTGATATGTCGCTTGCACTAGAACCACACGATAAAGATATTCTTCTGAAACTCTTTGAAGATGAGGTAGAATTGTATTACTGGCTAAAATCTCGACTTTTCAACGAAACAGTGAACAACCTTACGTAAAACTAACATTTATCAAATATGAAAGCTTGCCATGATGCCCCCTTTGATGTCTAGTTAGAAATTACACCAAAGATAATTTTTTCTACTAACTCTACTGCGTTAAATTTTTTTTATGGAAGAGAAGACGGTTTTACATCGTGTATATTACATCGAATTGAATAAAAGAAATATTTTTCAAGGAGTATAGAATTATCAGAAAATATTGTGACACCTTGCCGCCGTCGTTGCAGCATTTTTAAATGATTGCATCTTACGAGCATGTCTTCTTGCGCGACAGACAGTACGTGGTGCCATCTTTGAGTAAGCGATGGCAGGTAGGTAACACGTTCTTTGGATTTGCTATGCTATGGAATAAATATGGAAAACAGATAGGAATAATATTTGAGAACATCTATACTTAGTAAAAGCCTAAACACTAAGACTAGTAAGTCTCTTTGCGTTTCTCGTTGTTTTCACTGATTGTCCGGAGTTACAAAAACAGAACGATGAGTTATTTTATAAAGCCACTATTATTTATTTACACCTAGTAAGTCTGAAGCGTAACATTTTTCAATCGGGATCGTTGTGTAACATAAAGTAAAGTTGCAATTACTTTAGCAATAGTTACTGGTATAGATACGATAAAAGACTGCAATAAACTATTTTGATCGTGTAGAGAAAGGCCTCTCGCGTTAATTGTGTAGCAAAACATGTAAAAATTTACACGATCGTCGAGGATTTGCTGTAAAACTGTTCTTATCGTGATCAATACAGTGGGAGCTTATCGGTTTGCTGATAATGGAAGGAAACACGTTAAGGGGTATTGGCAAACGACATTAGTCGTTTCACTCGCATGTCGCGTGTGCAGCAAAACATGAGTATCATGTTGACGTATAAATGCACGAGCAACAACACGAGCAACGCGTGCCATCACTTTTTCTTCGCGTCTTTCAATCCAGCACCAGCATTGAACTTGAAGAAAATGATGTCTCCGTCTTCGACGACATAATTGCGTCCCTGCTGTCTATACTTTCCAGCAGCCTGTATCAAAACGGAAGCAAAAATCAAAACAAAGAAAATACGATTAATTATTATCCTCTGGATACCACCCACTATCGTATGATTTCTTACCTTCACAGCAGCTTCTGATCCTTCATTCTTGAAGTCATCGTACTTCATAACTTCAGCCATAATGAATCCCTTTTCGAAGTCTGTGTGAATCCTTCCAGCTGCCTGAGGCGCCTTTGTACCTTTCTAAAATTGTTCAAGATACGATCAGTGAAGAAACGACAGAACCTCGAAAATCACTACAATTTCTCTTTACCTGAATCGTCCATGCCTTGACTTCATCGTGTCCTGCTGTGAAGAAGTATTGCAGCTGCAATGCTTTGTATCCCTGAACGATGATCTTGTCAAGTGCGCTAAAAATGATTTGTGTGGTTAAAAGTGTGCGAAAAAAATACATACACGAGTGCAATGTGAAACTTTAATCGAAGAATTTCGAACTGTATATACGTAGGTGAGACGACGACGAAGATATATAGAATATGCTGTGTCCAATATGAAAATCAACGAATCAGGAATTCTGTGATGCGTTGTATTAAAAAGAAAAACGTGAATTCCTTGTTCATGGAAGGGGTGGTCAAGAGAAACAGGACTGTGGAATATGATTGTCTCGAACCGAATATCGTCTAATGACAGGGTACGGGAAGGGAGGCCATCCTGTTCCGTGGGCCCCTCTCGAACTCCCGAGACTTCACAGAATACACATAAAGCTGAACGACTTAATACCGCAATTTTATCACTCTGACTCTGTCTGAGACCAACTTCGGCGCCTAAGTCATCTGTGGTCTCGAAATAAAATCGCGGTATCCAGAAATCTTCCGTTTGTCCCCTGTGATTATCGAGTGAGACCATCTTATACGATCGTTCCGAGGGATCGACAGAACTCGTTGAAGAATTTCGATTTGTAGTTGGTCATTGAGGAGCACGATTTAATACTTCCTATATTAGCCACGATCACGGCGGACCCCGAAAATACTTTCACGTCCGTGAACAGTGAACACGTGGAGGACGGTGGATGAGATAGTTTTTGTTCGCGAATGACCTACTAGCCCACCGAACCGGTCGATTTTCGTTCCACCTCATCCCCTGGTTATACCGATATGTGCCCGGGAGGGTAGGAGGAGCTTTTTATGCAATTTCACAAGAATTTGAATAGCCCGGTTCGTAAAAATATAATGCGCCACGGCTGCTAAAGATGCCGCAGTTTTTATTAGTCGTCCTACACGAGAGAGGGTCGTGTCTAGACGCTTGGACCGATCCCTACATTATCATTACCGCCAGTAGACAACTCGGTGCATAGTTAAATGTGGGAACCGAACTTTCTACGGGTTACAGTCTTTTCGTTGCAACTTTTTTGTATCCAGTATTCTATAATTAGCAATGTACATGACTCTTCTAACTCTTGGAAGTCTGGTATTTTCTAGTAGAACGCGTTTCACGCTTCCGTGACTCTTTTATGCGAAAGTATAACGAATGATCGCGTGTAACGAAATCGTATTGTTACAAAGGGGAGATAGTTTTACGCACCTAGTAGCTTTTTGTTCCTCCAAATACTTTGCACGCTCTGGCTCCTCCATGTCGACAAGTTTGTTCTCGAAAGCACCGCTGAATGGGATCAAAATAGCTCCGGGATCGTTTTTGTCGACCCATTCCTTTATTTTGATTAACCTGTACATCAAAACGATTATGATTAGATGGGGAGATTTGGGATAAACGATACCGCGACATACGTACCACTTGTTCTTCTTACGGATGTAGTCCTTCTCCGAGAGATTAACTAAATAAATAACCGGTTTCGACGTGAGGAATAAATATTTGTTGAGAACTTCGATCTGCAAAAGAGACGGAACCATTGAAGAAGTTCGAAGTTGAAAAATTTACGACGATTAAAATCAACTTAATCGACTTACTTCGGTAACACTCCAATCGGCGAACCTAATATGCTTTTTTTCGTCCACCATAACACTTTTCACTTTCAACAGCGTATCCTACACAGAAGGATGATTAATTTATTAGAAAACCATTGTGCCTTTTTAGGGTTACGTTCCGTTCTTTTTTCAAACTTTGCTACTATGGAAATTCATTTTACCATGAATCGGAAGAAACGGACGTTCCGTTTAGAGTATTTAGCCGCACGGAGTACGCGCGGTCGCCTGGAATGATTCCGTGATCGAGCTGTGATTAGAGGACCGTAGATTCGCGAATCGTCGCCCCATTAGTTAGACCGAAAAGACGAAGAGCCAGCTTTTAACTCTCGAAAAGTTTTAGCAAATTGCAAAGTCTGGAACGAGGGAGGATCGGAAATTGCCGTGGGTCAATCCACGGAAAGAGGGTAATTCGATTGATTCGTTCTAGGAAGCAGTGTATCTCTCTCTTAATTCCCTCGGTGATTTCGTTCAGGTTTCTCGATATACTTGTGTTTGTAATGGCTTCCTTCGCGCTTCGACGTTCCAGTGTATTCATCCTTCTTCTTTTTTTTTTTTTTTTTTTTTTTTTTTTTTTTTTACGGCGGACGGTATCGTTGATTGAGCCGCAATTACACGTACGCGCGTTTATTCTATGAATTCTGATAGAGGGCAGATTGGAAACGCGGTCGCGCGATAGATTATTATCGCGTTGCGGAAGTTGCAGCGTTCTCGTGTCGTGGCATTCGACCGATCGAACCAAATAGGAGAGAAAGCGATCGTGAAAATTGTAAAACTTTTAGAAAAGATTGATTGTTACTTACATATTCGGGCTTTAGTTTCTTATCGTTTCCTCGGACGACAAGCTTTTCTAATTTCTCGAGGTGAACGTTCAAAAACTCGATATCTTTTAATCGCAATTCCTCGCTAATAATCTCAAGATCTCGCACGGGATTCACATCTCCTTCCACGTGAGTGACGTCGTCGTCGTCGAACGCTCCTGTGTACAAAATGTACAGAATTAACCCCTTTTAGAGATTCGTTTTATCTGATTTTCAACGATTCATCGCGGCTACGTTCCAGGTAGACAATTGAAGTAAAAAGTTGCAAACATACGCGATTAATGCTTGTAAACTACTCATGCGTGTTGCACTCGGTTCGCGTCTAGAATTGCGTGTGCGGTATACCAAAGAAACGAACGTTGATGTCATCGACGACAGATTATCCTCCCCCTTCACAAAATTCGATTTTATCTGTTATCGTTGGTCGTCGTTTATATCGGACGTCACGGAATTGCATGATTCAAAGTGTGTAGATTTGAACAACTCACGGGCCAGATGAAAAATCCCATCGCAAGCATTAATGTGCGAGAGGAAATTGTTTCCCAAGCCCTGTCCTTCGGCGGCACCTTTAACGAGCCCGGCAATGTCCACTACGTTCAAGAAGGCTGGAACTTTGCTGAAAGCACGCGTTAAAAATACATTGTTCGTTAGGACGCTTATTTCACTGGGAGGGGAAAAAAAGACACTGACCGACAATCGCGATTCACAATGTGTCGTGCCACGCGTCTAGGATCGAAACGGGGGGAGGGTGTCGCGGTGACAACGAGCTGTATTTAAATGCTAATGCGAGTAGCCTCATTAAACAATTAGCCTTTGAAGAGAGGCGTCGGTGAAATGAACGAGAAGGGGAATTCCGCGTTAGGCGGCTTTCATTAGGGGTCGTTGAATCATCCGCGACACGTGCCAGTAGTCTGACCATGCGATGTCGTTGGCAAGAGTGTTTCAGCCACTGCACACACGCTGGGAGCTCGGGACGTGGAGACCGTCCTTTGATCTGCCATCGTTTCGCATTTTAATCTCTTTGAATTCGTGGAACTGCAAACGAGCACGTGTCGTAAAACAAACCGTGTAAGTTGCATCGGCCATTTGTTCGATACTTATTCGCTTTTTCCTGCTTTATACGCTCCACTGTCTACGTTTTATCTGTCTGTATGTTTTCCTTTCATTACACGTCGAACGTTTTCACGCAACGACACCGTGGAAAATATTCGTGTCAGTGAACCGAACGCTCGTTTCGCTGGCGAACCCTTCATGAATCTGCTGCTTTGTACATACATTCAATCTCATCGTGTCAACTAGCCAGCCAGCGTGACGATGCACGGAGGCACGGTAAACAGGGTTTTCGTCAATGTACACCGCAGCACGTACAGTGGTTTCCACGTGTTTCAATGAAACGGCCGTTATCACACCTGACCACCTTTGAATACGCGTATACAGGGTTTTCGATCAACTCCCACGGACTAATTTCGTCTTTTTTTTTTTTTTCAATCACCCGATACGGTAAGCTGGAAAGAGAGATGAAATATCCGTCTACATCGTGAAGCAAGTACGGGAAACGACAATGTAAAGTCGGCCGATGTTCAACATGTACTCCGTGTCGCGTAGACGAATTTAGTCGAATCTGCATTGCAGATCACGTACCGTTTTCTCCCGGCCCTGTCCCTTGCTCGTGAAAATAAAAGCAAAGAAGTATGGAAATGTCAATAGTTATTCCAACTGGTTTACCATCGCGAGGGTGCGTTCGCAGATAGAATCCCGTCGCTCTGGTTCGATGGTAACGCGTTCGAAGTAAGTAGGTACGCGTGGTTACGATGACAGAGTTGGGCACAATTTTATTCGAACAATACATATAGTGAATAGGAACAGTATTTACGATCGTCATCCTAATCTTTAAACACTTAACGAAATTAAATAATTCCATGCTAAGTGTCTACTCATTCCAGAAGAAATACTGTTTTATTATAAAAATTGGAAATTCCCCATTTAGTCGTTATCAGTATATTATCAGTATCTTATTCGTTATTCGAGATTTTTTATCTAGATAATGAATTTGCCCAGATCTCTACCATGGAACAGGTATTTGCGCCTTGGTTACTCACCTAGCCGGTTTGAAATACTCGCACAAATAGTCGAACCTTGCGTCGGGTACGGGTACGCGACGTGCTGGAAAATAAGAACAGCCATTAGACATCGTGCAAGGAAACTGACGCGTAGAAAAAAGGAACAGGCTAAAAAGTACATGAATAGTTCGAAACTTCTCGTTTATTCAACAGTTGTTTAATGTATTACCATATAGGTACAACGAACGTTAATGCAGTAAACGGAAAACAGGGGTTCAATCGTCCGATTCTTCGCTCGGATCAACCAAAAGTTGCGTCGGCGATGTACGACGGAACGTGATAAAGTTCGACATTCGCGGAAAGATGTCCGACAGTATCGATATGTCGGTGCTATTTCGATAACAGCCAATACTAGTGTCGTTGATTCCCTCTGGATACACGGGTGCTTTAATGAAAGGATTCCGCTTCTTTTTTATGGAATACGTGGCTCTTTGAAGAATTCTGTGGCGACCGTATATTCTCCTGGCGACTTTGTCATAGATTTTCGTTTCTTTTAACATGCACGAGACATTGCAGGTTTTTAAGTATACACCGATACAAATTGCAGCCGTGGTGGAAGGCGATAAACCTGGTAGCTTTGGCCGAATCACGCAGACCTGATTTACGGCTTCCACGATCACCGTCGCGACAGTTTGCTCCAAGAAGCCTAGGTCTGGTAAATTTTTAACGTCGATCGGTGGTAACGTATGGAAAAATTTTACGTTAACTTCCGCGTATTTATCTGGATATGTCAAAAATTTCTCGCGACATTCGTCCGTACAAAACAGATACACTTGATCTTTGTATAAAGCTCCTATGGTTGACTTTCCTGGTAGCAGTTTACGATGCGGTAGGTTCTCGACGTAAGTAACTGGACAGAAACCTGCAATTCGTAATCGTCTCGCCCAACAGGAGTGTTCCACGTCGATCGTTTCCGTCAAAACTCGAGGACGATCCTCGGGAAGACACGCCGTGTTCACCGGTGGAAGATACTTTTGTGGATTTAGCATGAAATCGTCTGCATGTCGCATACAAACCCAATAGAAGTGTTCTCTAAACTGAATCATCCCCCGTTGATCTGGAACGGATCTGCAAGTGGTCAGAGCGTTCTCGTAAAATAGACAAGCAGGACAATACGACTCAAATTTGCTGTGTCGTTTCTTGAATTCGTATGGGGAAACGCTCATAAACTGCAATCTATGACACTTATCGTAATCGCTCTCGCGGAAGTACGATCTAATGCAAGCGTATCTGAAGCACACTTCTCGATCGGCTCGCGTCCATACGTGCCACATACTTTTATCGGCCTCAAGATCGATCACGTTCTGCGTAAACTTCTTCAGCCACTCCCGAAACTTGACTCGATCGGCGTTCCAATTTGCGTAACGATGTTCCAAGAATTTGCTAGAAAAATTTGCCGGTTTCTTTGTTTCGTCGGCTCCACGAGACAAACAGTTGGTACAAAACGTAAGATTTGCCTTGAGATCCAGTACGATGATCGGTTGAATGCCTAGTAACGACAGACTCTCGAATTCTTTGCGACTCGAAGGGAAACCATCCAACACGAAACCCTGAGATGTCGATCGTGGATCGATGCAGTACATTTCGACGGCACGCGATAGAGATTCTTCAGGGGCGATGCGGCCTGCTCGAAGATGGGATTTCGCGAATTGCGCAGATTCCGTCCAAGGAAAATATTCCACGAGGTGTCGAACAGCCGAGCCTCGAGTTACAATTCTCAAGCCGTATTTTGCCGCGAATCGACGCGCGAGACTAGTTTTTCCGCATTTCGGCGGGCCGATAATGGAAAGTCGAAATGGAATGACGGGCGCGCAAGAATCTTGTTCCAGATATTTCAATGGATTCTTTAAAAATTCGGAACAAGCATCCTTGCCGGTCAGAAAATAGAGGAACTGCCGATGTGTTACCGGATAAATTTCTTGCCGAGCCTCCGATGGTAGAAACATTTGCAGAGGTGTTTGATTTTTGTAAAGTTGCACCGGGCACCATCGGCCGAAGGAACTTTGGAGATAATAACCGCAATCGAGAAGCATTTCGGCTGTCTCGAGGTCAATAGTACGGGGTCGTTCTAGAACAGATACATCTCGATCAATGTAAGGACTGAGAATTCTCATAACTCGCAGCAGAATGTCTTTAAACGTTCCTTCCGTGTTTATTGCTGCATATTGAATCGATTCCTGTTGCACAGCTTCCCGCATTGCTTCTATCTTTCGAGAGTCGTTTGCGTATGTTTCCTCGAATTCTTTCTCTATTCGAAGCTTCGCCGTTTCGTAATCCTCCCAATCGATGAATGGAATAGGTAGAGGATTCTCATTACGCCAAATTTCTTCTAATTCAAACTGCCTACGCAATATTACTTCCGGATAATCGTCGTTGTAGTCGTAGGTGTCATTGTCGTCTAAATTGATGGATACATGCTCGATCCTTGGCGCATTTCCGTATTCATCGAACGATTGCCATGAGAACTCGTCAGCTTCTTGCCCATGTAGCAGATCATCCATTTCTTCCATCAAACTTTTTCTGACCCACGTGTTCTTGTCTTTGTGATAACTCTTCAGTTCCTGCATGTGACGCAATTGCTCCTTACGTTTTTTCTCTAACAACGATTCCTGCCATAATTTCAGTAGTTCGGGTATTATCCTTTGGTGCGCCTTGTCCTTATCGCATCGAAGCTCTATGATTATCTCGGGTACTGTGTAATGGTCAAGCGCCATTTGTACGTCCTGTGGACAACTTGGAAATTGCTCCATCACGAGACCGTGTTTTTTGTACCGTCCTTCGAAAAATTCCAACAAGCATTCGCGAAGAATTTTCTTAGGAAGTTCGCTTCCTTCGTTCCAATAGCGTCGTATCAAAGTTTGTAACGTGGAAGCATCGCGGATATATTTCTCGTCGTCTATGTATTCCGGCAAATCTACTTCCTCTGGATGATCCTGCGGTAAAACCATCTGGCATCTGTGTAAAATAGACGGACGTATCCCTCGTTCTCTCACGAATACAGAGAAAAATTTAAAGTAATCGATGTGCGCTAAACCATACTCTCGGGATATCGCGTCGGCCAACATGCTTTTTCCACTTCCCAGTGGACCAATGATACTGACACGAAGAGGTGGAATCACCGATAACGGTCTTCGAAACGGAATAGACAACTTCTGAGGACTGTGTAGAAATTCCTGAAGAGCGGCATCATTGGAGAGTAGATAAATCTTATTCATAAAAAGTGCGCTGAAATCTTCTTTACCCTTCCAGAAGACATTGTACTTAATTAGTGCCACGGGACAGTATTGATCAGTGTCTCCGAGGCGACGATTATCTTCCCTGTTGTCTACCACAACAGTACCTTCTTCGTCTCTTAAGTCTTCCCCTTCGCCTACGTTCTCGGTATTGTCGGTCATCGCCATATATTCTGCAAGATCCTTTTCCCTTTCCTTTTCAACGTCGCTCATTTCCCTAGCTTTATCCACGTAACGATCTTTAATATTTTCCATCACGAATCCGAATATATCGTCGATTTTGCTAAGATTACAAGTAATCAGATTTCTGCATGAATTCGTTACCTTTTCTCTCGTTGCTTCCCAATCCAATTCGAACTGTCGAATATGCCTCAGATATTCCGCTAATCCTTGTGTCTGTTCTTCGCCATCACTGTCTTCACCGTTCGACCATTCCTCGTGTTCCTCCTCAAATTTTTCACTATCGTGACTGCTGCGCCATTTGGACAACAAATATTCGTACGGATCCTCGTCGTACAATAGAATTGCATCTTCGAAAAGAATATTTGAATCCTCGACAATCATTTTCCAACAATCTATATCAGGATATATACCATCCACGATGTAACTCCCGTCTCTCCACACTCCTACATCTATCTCCTCTTTCGGTACGTCTAATATCTTTTTCACGAGAAAGTCAGTCTTTTCTTGCAGGCCTGCGTAAACCATCGAATCGAAGAAAATATTCGAATCGCTGTCCGATTGGTTTACATTTATTACAGTACCTCCAAACACGTTCGCCAATGTTTTACATAGATCAGATTTTCCGGAGTACTTCGGACCGAATACCGCGATTTTACACGTTGGTCGTGGAGCAAAAGAAAGGACGAAAGTTCTTGGATTCTCGATAAACAAATCAGTCGTTTCAGCTGACGAGAGGAAAAAGATTTTATCCATAAACCTGACAGCAAATTTTGATGTACCTTCTACGGTTCTGCCCCTAGCTAATTCGACCGGGCAAAGAAAGTTCCAAGCGGAGAGGCTCCATGGATACATCGGTGAAACAGTTTCTCTGTTTGCCAAAACCTGAAACGCCTCTTCGTTCGACTTACCCTCGAACTCCTCTATCGGCGCAGACATCGCGGAGGTTTCGCCGTCAAACTTCATCGTCGCAAGATCCAAAAATTTCGTTGGAAGAATTACTCTGGGAACCGGTAGTGTGCGTAAACGTGAGATCACTATCTGAAACATTTGTGACACTGCGCTGCGACCATCCAGACGAATCACGTTCTCTGGTTTGTGTAATAAAATCCATTTATCGATAGCAGCCATTGCAAAATGTTTGTACAATTTGCACTGAGCCTCGACGTTTGATTTTCGGTCGGAAACTCGTTTCAATAAATATTTTCCTTGGTTTTCGTCCAGAATCCTTTCCTCGTTCATCAGCTCGCGATAGAGTTCGAAAGATATGTTGACGTCGTTTTCCGTTCTGTTGTTAGCGAACGTCGTTTCAATATTTCGGTTCATGGCTGCGAGGCTAGTATCTACTATTCGTCCTGTTCCTGCGTCAATGCGAAAATGTTCACGCTTTCTTACGACGTCCTCATCCGGACACATTACGTAGATACTTATGGACGGTTTTATGGGCCATGTGGTGAACATTTCGTCGAGTTGATTGGAAATAAACTCGTATCTAGGTTTCATCGCACAGCTTTTATTCTTGAATTCTTGATCGGCAGAAAGTTTCATAAAATTCTTCGTGAGGTTCTGAATGTCTGATTCTTCGGTCGAAAGATTCGAGTACGAATGATAATCGAGCAATTCGTTTGGAATCAGCGGGAAACCTTCTACAACGTAACCTCTGTGACGCACGTCTCTTTCGTTGATTCTATTTTCTATCAGATACTTAATAATATCAAGGCCCAGACACTCGCCATTTCGTAAAATGGCCGAAATGATTTTACCAGTTTCGGTTCCTTTCTCGATTTCGCGTTTAACAAGTTGCGTCGGAGAGACTAAAATACATTTCCAGGAGTCAGCGATCATGGCTGCCAGTTTTGAGGTATTTAGATCAGGTTTCCCAAGTATAACGAAAGACGTTGGCACAGTTTGCAGGTATTTTGTTCTGGCTTCAGTCTCGCAGTAAGGATCACGTATTGTGTAAGGTTTTTTAGGGGATTCGAAATGGGGTTCGATGTTTCCATATTTTCTGGATTCACAGGTCGCTGTGAATCTGGTAAGTGGATTCGCGTCTTCGTGGAAGGCGTAGTATGAATTAGCTTTTGGATATACACAGTGATTGGGTTCAGACCAGGGAGGATTGAACTCCTCGCGGGGATGTCCTTTAATATAACGAAAGAAACTCTTCTTTATGATATAAGACGCGTTCACGTAAAACTTGTCGCCATTGTCTTTACGTGCACCGCGTTTATCACGATTGGAAGTTGTCTCGCACATCGCCGCAATATATTACTAGGTTTCGCGAATTCTTTTTCAATCAGAAGCTTCATTTTGAGGTTCGCTGTGGCGCTTTAGATTACGGTTAGAAACAAATGACGCGATCGAATCGAATAAATTAATAGTGAATTTAGATACTTATTTTCATTGGGATCGATGGTGCAGAATGGGAAATTCTCCGCTGCAGCCTGGCTTTTGGTTAAGACGTTGAAGAAAGTTGATTATTTTTCGGCGCCATTCTATGAAAATATAAAGAGATCGATTTCAAAACTGCTAACATGCATCGCGACGTGAAATTTAAGCAAGTCCGAATGTTTGCGTTCGCTGTTACGGATGCACTATCCATCTAACTCGTCCCTTGACCGATCCACGAGCATACACTGAGGAACTATCGGTTCCTCTTTGTCTTCGGCTTACAGACTAACGTGCACCATGCAAAAGTGAACACAATATGAATACATTGAAAACGGGGAAGGGGATATATCAGTTTGCACGGCTAGAAATGAAAATGATCCAACGTGAAATGGCCACGCCCTTGTTCCTCCAACCCTTGGAATCACGAGGATTCCGTGGATCGTTCGCGTATACACGTAATGCCTCCGGCCTCGCGATGGTTCGAACAGAATCGAGCCGAAAGAGTCGGCTTCTCGAGCATCGAGTCGCTTTCAAGCGCTCCGGGTGACTAATTATATTAATGCGGACGGCACATCAAGCGATTGCTGTATTTACCACGAGATTGCCCCCCCTTCTTCCTCCCCGTTCTCCAATGTACAACGGACCCGCGCCATATCAAAGGACGAAACAGGTAAGAGAACGCCCGCGGGAGGCGCAGGGGGGCGAACGAAAGCGCGCGGGGAAGGTGAAACTCTCGAGGGAGAGAAGTAGGGACGAGAGGTGGATTCACCGAGCAAAGATGCGAGGGAGGAGAAACACGCCGAGCAAGGGGACCGACGATTACTGGGCAGCAGAGCCGCGAATCACCGGCATCACGCCGGGAATCTGCAACCGCGCCTCAGGCCGCCAATCCGCCACCGACTTCGCGGTTCCTCTTCCTCCCCTGCCTTCTCTTTCAGCTTATTCACCCTCTCCCTGTCCTTCTCCTTTCTTTCCTTAACCATCCACAACCTTCCTCTCTTCTTCGTCGTCTTCTTCTTCTTCTTCTTCTTCTTTCTCCGTCCATTCCCCAAACTATCGAGTCTTCGAAACGGTTTAACCTGAAACCGCGCGCGCGGCACTTCTCGTCGTTCTTCATCACGGTCCCCGAGAAATTTGCAAATTACGATAATGGAAGAGAAGCGAAGACTCGTCCGCGATGCTACTCAAGAATTGCTTTGGCGCCGCTGCAACACCCTCATTCCCCCTCGGACGATCCTGTTCCGCCTGTATCTACTCCACGGTCCTACCATGGACCAATTATTTCCATTCGATTACGGTTAAGGTTAACTTTCGAAAGAAACAACAATGATTTTTTTTTTTTAGATCAAATGTCGACGAGAAACTACGTTTCAAACGACCCGCCTACGTTTAGTACTGGATTCTATCGATTGGAGGAGCTTCAGGAGTTTTAGCTGAATCGTACAGTGCTGCCCTCGCAACACTTGCTTCTTGAACCATGCACGATGCACATCAGAACCTAACCTTACTTTGTCGAAAGAACAAAGCTGTTAAAAGGTTGGAAACGGTAACAATTAGAAATTGTATATTTGCCGATGGCAGCACAACACGAACAAGTGACGTGCCAACATTTGAACGACACGTGTACCTCCCTATCGGCGCAACTAACATCGGACCATTCGTGCAAGCATGTACGTTACCTCGTTTCTCTGAGTCAGAATTCCGTCTATGAAAATGGAATTGTTTTCACTCGTCGAATAAACATACCAGTGATCGAGTTTCGATTAAATACCTTGTATATCGCTGCTATCTTCACAAAATAAATATCACTGCACAACGCGTGGCACAGAAAGGAACACAGCGCACGTTCGGTGTTCGGTGTCGTCAGACGTTCGACCGGCCTCCCTCCGATTCTGAAACAGGCAGCTGCATTATCGTCAGAGAAACAGTTATGCAAGTATGTAAGAAAAATCAGAAAACCGATAAACGAATTAATCTTTGATGGTAATATGAACGAAACAGTATTTATAATTAGTAGACACTCGAGTGTATCGCGAAACTACTTTTTCTTTTAATTACTGGCACTGGCAATTCGGCACTCATTGCTCTGTAATCTTTGTAAAATGAACCTCTGGCTGATTCCAATGATTGCATCCTCTCGAAGCGATCAGTCGCCGACAAATTCATTGTAATTCTCGGAATAGCTTTATAAAATGAAACGTTACCTTTAATTTGTCGTAGAAAAAGGGGTCATCAGAGAGGGCTGATTGTAATGCTTTCGCGGAAACCATAAACACGCACATTCTCGCTAAACAAATTTAAAACCCCTTCAGAAAAAAAATGCATTCCCGTGATGAGATCGTGTCGCAATATTGACAAAAATTGCAGTCCCATTCGAATAGACTTATTGCACACCTCGATAGAAAGTTTAATCGACGACGAACATGTAATAGTAAGCAGAATATTCTGCAGAGTATTCGATGCGTTCATTACAAAATATATTCGTGCACAAAAAACAATTTCATTTTGAAGTTTCTACACGAACGTATAGGTTTACCTTGGATAGTGTTCAGGAATGATGAGAACACACCGGTTGTAGATCACCGCAGGGCCATAATTCGAGACATAATATTAAGATGACCGTAGAACGGAATAAAAAAGCGATTGCACGTCTGTGTTTGAGCGCTTTGATGTCTACCCTGCCATTGCCGTGAGATCGGAGCAGAAAAGAGCGCGATGATCGTTAGCAACTTTGAATGAAGTACGAAAAATTTCAACTCTTTTTCAAAAATTGCCAATTGGCCGATAAATATTGCTCTGACCCCCGTACGAATAACTTTGTAACATTCCGACAATTTCATAAATAGTTGCCGGGTGATGCTTGAACCGCGTTAACTGCGGTTTCGTTCGGTCAATAGATTTCTAACGTGAAGTCGTCCTTGTGGCGTGTGATTATTTCAATTATTTTATTACGAACCGTATCAATCTCAGCCCATATAATGCATATAATCAGGAGGCTATTATTCCACGAGCGCACGGCCGGCGGAAAGGACGTCCCCTCTACCTCACTCTCCGGTCCATAGTTCGTACCAGCTCGTCTCGGTCGTTTTCGTGATATTGTAATTTGGAGACCGCAAACCCACTGACGTCACTGGTGCACTGGAGCATCTTGCTAGCGCAGCGCACGGTCAGTTCTTCCCCTTTGGGGTTTTTTATTGTCCGACAATTTCGATGAAAAGCCTATTAACGACCACGGAATTATAGGAATTTCGGCAGATTAGATGTATGTATGTTGAATCGAGGGATTACGTTACTAATTCCAGCGAAACGCTGGCTGGCTGATCGCCATTCGGAAATTTATTGGCGCACGGTCACGGCTTTATTTTTTCGATCACGTTGAAAAGAATAACGGCGGAAAAAGTTATTCTTCGTCGAACAAAAAAGTAGCCCACCGTTTCGAGTAACGAGTAAGGTAGTCTCGCGAAGAAAGCAGGGCCAACAAAGAAAACGCATTAAGCCTTTGTTCAAATAATACACACCTTCCAGGCTCTCGTTTACTTAGAGGCAATTGCTCACCATAACATTTCGTCAGACCGTTTCGTTGCTACATTTTCGAATCGTCCGAGTGGTTTTATTGCCAAAAAATAGAAGATGATAGATCGTAAATGGAGCACCGAATAACAGGGTTGAAGAGAAATAAGAACAGAGTTTGCATCGGCGGATAATAAATGTAGAAACGATTGTTTAATGAGAAACTTGCGGGGTTCGGCTTTACGAGGAAATAACATCGAAACTATCGAGTGTGGGCCAATTAGACGGCGCAATAAAATTTTTGTTCGTATCTCGCTAGGATGCTCTCACACTGCAATCATCGCGAAAAATGACTTAATCGGCATGAACACTAATTTATATCCCTACTTACATCCCGTTTCGTATTAAAATTAGAAACGTACCGCGTCAGGGTGGTAATTAACTGTTAATTCGATGGTTCCGTTCTTAAGGCTCTTCCTTTTATTAAATTTAAAAGTTCGAGAAAACGGCGACGGTGTTTGTTTTACGATCGATACTGGAAGCAGGGGAAACCTTTAGCGAGGGTACAAACCGTCGGCGAATGTCGAATTTCACAAGTTGGCATTAAATTTACTTTGATTACCATTGGATCGAGTCAAGATGAATCGATAGACTCAAAGCAAGAACAGAAGGCACTGTTGGAACATAACGATGTTGTAATAACTTCCCGACAAGTCCAATGTACCTACCTCCGGCAACGGTCCATAGGCTGTATTACAGACTCGTAAAACGCGATGCAGTTTCTTCGTTGCATCCGCTGTTTTGTGCTTTTACGAGGTAAATGAAGAATTATAGGATCGCCGGTCTCTCTTTTCTCAGCTGTTGGTGCATCGTTTAGGAGCATTATAACTCACCGCTTCCTCTCTTCTTTTGCATATCCATACGCGGGCGAACGTCGAGCACGCGGTCGAAAATTATAGCGGAAATTCTCGGGGTGAGTGGACAGACTTATTCAAAGGGTCGGAAGTTCTTTCGTGTTTTGTAAGAGGAAAGTTAGCACGAAACGGTCACGTCAAAAATTCCTCGCAGATTTTAACGAAGGAGTCGTGTTTTTTCGGTCTTACACGAAACTTTCAAATTATATGCATCCAGGACGGACCAGATTGTAACATCTTGTCGGGATTGACTGCAGGTACGTCTCTAATAACTAATTGCGTAGGGACGTAAAGAAGCCTTGATAATTCCTGGAGCATGTAGCCACGCAATTAAGGTGTAACGTTTCGAAGTTCTGGTCGTAAACAACGCGAGCAAAGTAGCGGAACCTCCGCGGCTCGGTTCCGCCCGTCAATTGTTACCAATTGTTGCCAATCAGAGTAATACGTGTCATTACGGCAAGAAGGTTAACAGCAACGCGCTCCGCTTCACTGTCGATCTGATTACACCACACACACACACACTATATTAATTTGCCGATAATTGTTCGGTACTCGTTCCACACGCGTTCCCCGTCAAATTAATATATTTCATAATTTACCCAGCTGATTTTCATTAATGGCTCGTTGCTGTGGAGCAACTATTTTCCTACAGACAC